AAGTTGGTCGCGTTAAGTTTTCATTTATTATAATAATTCTACTGAAAAGTTTCAATGATTATTAAATACAAATATAACATGAATACAAAATACAAAAGTTCTAACAGATATCTTCTGAATTTCATTTTTTATACACGCCAATGATGTTTACCTCTTTTGAATTGATATCTCAACAGTTCACCATTTGCATTCATATTTATGAAGTAACCCTGATGATGGGATTGATGGGTTATGTGCCGGTGTCCAAAACATCAGATCAAAAGGAGAATTTTGCGTTACTTCTAAAGTCGTTATCTTGCAAATGGTGAATAGTTTATGCAGCGTTGGCATGCACTGAAATGAAGTTCCGAAGGCACTAAGTTCGTTTTGATACTGCCTGTAATAAAGACAAATACGCCTCACTTTACCGGATTCAAAATCGAGGTTAGATATAATTTGTGATGATTATTACATTGAATAATCAGCTATCAGGTGGGCCAAGGTAAAATTCAGTCACAAGGCATGACCAGACCAAAATATCATGATGTTCCTACCATTCGCAAGCCACCAACCATCAGTGGTTTCTCGTCTGGTGGGATTAATTCCCTGATCAAGGGAAATAGCGGTAAAGATAAAGATTTCCCGTGAGCGGATTCGAACCGGCACCGCCGGAGTTAAAGGTTGACCTCTTAGCCACTGTGCGACCACCACGCCCCAACATTCAAATGACATGATCGCGCCGCCTCCTAGCTAAAGAATCTACCGGCTTAAGAATCCCTCTAAGTGGCCACAGCTACAAGGTACTATAGCAGCTTCAGTGTCAGGGTGCGACAAGCCGCTCTATGGAGCCGCAACGTGATTAAATGGCTCTCAGGGCCACTACAAACGACGGCCTGTGAGCCTTGGTTTGTAAATTCGGAAAAGTGCCAGGCATTTTTCAATGAACAGTGAACAGAGCAATTTTCGTTGTTGTTACCGTAGCTCATTATTTAATCACATAAGCATCAGAACGTTGCAGGTCTACTATGAGGGTGTGTCCTAAACATCATGTCCCTCCGAGGTTTACCATCAGAATTCTACTGACAAGTGCTCGGCCACGTCGGATACTTTCGAAGCGAACAAAGATGTCGGTTCTGCGACAGATTTCTAAGACCATTCGAACTCGAACTTGAACTAGAACTCGAACTCGAAGGTTCTAAAAATCATCGGCAGCAATTGCAGTGGCTGATTTCCGATAGCCACCGGTTGTATGTGGCAGCTGTTGCGCCAATTCTGTCAGAACGCGTTAAGCGGAACCAACCGGGCTGGTCTCGCTTCGAGTACCAGTCATCGAAGTTGTTCAAACGTGACGACTATTAGACGGGCAAAAAATGCGGCAAAGTGCTTATTCGCTCTTTGACCTCAACTCTACAGCATTGGGACTCCTCGGCCAGCCTCTCAAAGCTGCGAGCCGTTAGTCAGCGACCTCTGGCTGACCGCTGGCCGTCGTGACTCACGTTCGGTCGACAGCTACGCTACTACTTTGGCAATGATCGAAGTAAGCGCACGGGATTAGGATTTTTGAGCCAGCTGTCGTAGAGACGGCAACTTCGCCGTCAGGATTTGTCACACAAACAGTATCGACGACACAACCTTACCTTCCGATCAACTCTAGCAGCTCGAAGTGCTGGTAGAAGGTTCCTGCTGCGGTGGAAATGTCCATCAAGCTGTGGTCAGCTACGAGCACTGCTTCGTCACGGACGTACGCGGCAGCTTCGACGCCGACTGTGGCTGGTCATCGACCGACGCAGAAGATGGACAGTAGTGCGTGGCTCGCAGCGGCCTTGGCGGATAAGGTCGCAACACGACAAGACGAGGGACAAGTGACGAGGGAGTGTGTGATGATGCTGATCGAGTGA